TGCATTTACAGATGGTCCACCGAGGTTCAGATTGGTGAGAGGACACCACAGTCATCTTCAGAAGATGGCCAGCTATGAAGGGAAGTTGGGCTGGGTGAAGTCAGACTTGGAGCTGGGATCCTTGGGGGGAATCCTAGATGTGGTCTTTACTGTGTGACATTGGACAAACCACTTGACCTCCCTGTGCTTTAGTTTCCTCATCAGTGAAATGGAGACTTCTTGCCTGCCTCACAGGGTGGTTAGATGGGAAGGGGGCATCAAAAAAAAAAAAAAAAAGGGTGTGAAAGGGATTGATGTTAGAGATCTTAAGCCATTAGCCCAGTCCAGCCCAAGGATGACTGGTCTGGCTGGCACTGTGCTTTAAGAGCATGGAACTTGAATGCCTTTAGGTGAGAATGCTCCTTTTTTTACACAAGCTCTACTTAACAGCTGGCCTGATCGTCTGATCTATGTTACCTGCCTGGCTCCTCAAGACATTCTGATTTGGGACCCCTAACAACCTAGACACTACTGTATAGGTAGAACCAGCTTCCTGTGTGGGTGAAGTAGGTGCTATCATTTTAAGGGGTTCTCAAAGGCACTACCTCCTTTTCCCTCCTCTCTTTCCACAAGCCCAGCTTGCTGATGCCTATAATGCTTTTGGGAAATCCTCTGGACAAACAAAAACCTATGTTGGAAGGGAGGATAACATTTCAAGCCTTAGCTTTGCTTGATCATTTATAACTTAGGTAGATGTAAAAAGCAGATTAGAGGGGTGCCTAGTTGGCTCAGGTTGGTGGGAGTATGCAACTTTTGATCTTGGGGTTGTGAGTTCGAGTCCCACGTTAGGTGTAGTGATTACTTAAAAATAAAATCTTAAAAGAAAAGCAGATTGGATAAAAGCAGACTTAAAAATTTTTTTGAGAGCAGGTTTTGATAAGAGAACCTGAGACACTGACCATGTGTGTTGGGGTATGTATGGGTATCAGAGAGAAACTCTAGCAAGCAGGTAGCAAAGGAATATAAATGGATGGATGGGGGAATTTTTCTGGAAATGGGGATAGTACCTGCTGCATAGTATTGTTGGGAGAATTAAATGAGAAAGTAAAGAACTTAATAGAATAAGAAAGTAAATGCAGGCATTATTGTTTTCTTGGTCTGAAAGAAGAAACACACTTTCACAATAACCTGGAGTGGAAAGGAGGCAAAAGGGTGATGTGCTCTGCTTCTTACCCATCCAAGCTTACCTAGGCTAGCAGCGGAAGCCTGTATGCACTATGTCTGTTTGCATCTCCTCCAGGCCAAACCCCTGACTATTTGGAAATAATGAGATGAGGGACTGAATAGTTCATTCATATCTGGAATCCTTATCAAATGAAGAAATTGCTTAACAGCTGTCCATCATAGTGGGCTTCTTAGCATTTTCCAGTTTGGCCAAAATAGAGGTGATTTTATGGCCATCATAAGGTGCAGTTTGCCCACCGTGTGTTTATAGTAAATTACTATTTTTTTCCTCCACTCTCCTTTTTTTACAGTGCGCATCTGAAATGAAGTGAAATTGTGCAAAACTAGAAATGTTCCTAGTGGTTAGGGAATAGCCTAATGGCATCTGATAATTTCCTATTGAGGCAGATGTTGGCATCCACACGTTAGATCCCCCACCTTATACTAAGAATTTTTATAGCGCTTTCCCGTGGACTATCTTTTTTTTTGAGAAAGATTGTCCAAACATACCTGTGTGTGGGGTGGGTAAGGCAGAATCATCCAGATTTTATGGATGGAGAAACTCATCTGTTTCCTGTGTCAGATTCCTTGGGTAAGGAGGCAAGGAATGACAGGTCTCTAAAGGGGTTTACCTAGCATCACAAGGTGGGAGAGCTGGGAAACTGGGACTGACCTCCTCAGTCTTCCAGCAGTGAGTCCTGTTGCAAAGAAGCAGCTTGATGAAGGGGCCTAGGGCTTTGGAAGGAGAGGTGGACTTGAGGGTAAGTGTCCCAAACTCCCTGGGTCTCAGTTCTCATGGATACAATGTGGGGCTTCCTGGGGCAATCATACTAACATGAGAGTTGTCCTGAAGCTTAAAATGAGAAAATGGATGTAGAGGTATCTGACACATCTTCTGCCCTCTCTACTGCATTGAGGGTGTCATGAGTCAACGTAACGACTGAGCATCATCATTATTATGCCTATGGTTTTTGAGAGGTTGCCCTGTACCAGACACTGTTCTAAGAGCTTCACATGAATCATCCCTTATAATCCTCACAGCAACCTTCTGAAGTAATTATTATCCCCATTGGATTGATGAGAAAACTGAGGTATGGAGAGATTGAACAGTTTGCCCCAACTATGCATTTAAGAAAAGGCTGAGGCCACATTTGGCCTCAGTGCCTCCTTATTTATGGTGTAATAGAGCTGAAAGGAACTTAAAAAAACCACTGGGCCACAGGCTCAACCTCCAAGTCTTGTAATTTCAGATCTTCATCCCAAGAAATATTTTACTAATACAGTAGTCCAACTCATCCATGGGGGATACATTTCAAGACCCACAGTGGATGCCTGAAACCGCAGATAGTACCAAACCCTATAATACTGTTTTCTTCCTGTACAAACATCCCTATGCTAAAGTTTAATTTATAAATTAAGCACAGTAAGAGATTAACAACAATAGCTAGTAATAAAATAGAACAATTGTAACAATAGACTGTAATAAGTTATGTGAAAGTGGTCTCACTCTTTCTCGGAAGATCTTATTGTACTGTACTAATCCTTCTTCTTGTGATGATGTGAGATGATAAAATGACTACGTGATGAGCAGAAGTGAGGTGAGTGATGCAGGCACTGTGACATAGTGTTAGGCTACTGCTGACCTTCTGATAGTACGTCCGAAGGATCATCCTCTCCCTGACCATGGGTCACTGAAACTGCACAGAGTGAAACCGTGGATAAAGGGGGACTACTGTAGATTAAAATACTGAAGTCTGTGAAACATTTGCATTTGGTTATAATTAGAGTGGATTCCAGGTTATTCTTATAATAATTTTTATAATTATATTCTTATAACGATTCCCATTTGTTTTATGCTTTAAAATGCTTTCTTGATAGAAGAGGAAGGGCAGAGTATACCTAATGGGCTGGGCTTGGTGACCAGGTTGACTTGTGTGAATGCATTATGTTTGTTTGGTTGACTTGGTGGAAACAAGGTATGGCCATTGGCTTCCTAGATATAGGCCAACATCTGCAAAAAGCTGCAGAAAAGTAATGAGGGAGTTCACTAGGGCAGGCCCTATCTGTTGAGCCCTGGAGAGTTCAGCCTTTGACTTTGCTTTTTGTGAGCTAAGTCCAACTAAAGTACCACAAATTCCATATCACTCATTACTTTGACAGAACTTAATTTAGCAAATCCTTCTTCAAGTATGGGTGAGAGATTCAGTCACAGAGCCCAGCTGATACAAGAGATTGAGGAGGGTCCAGCTAGTAGTATTCTTTCTAGTGGGGCAATGCCACACACTTATGGGAATATTAGCATCATGAGTGACTAAAGGTGCTATTTAGAAATAAAAGTGACGACTTCCAACTGACATTTCTCAATATGTGGGACATTCTGCATAGGATTATTTTCTAGTTGGAAGAAGAAAGAGTGGGATGTCAAAGAAGGCAGATGGGGGGTGTCCAGTAGTCCTAAAGATAGGAGGGCACAATTGTCCTCACGATTTCACAATAATAGAGCCCTTATAATGCATGCATTTCACTGACAGTTTCTTTGAAAACTGGTGAAAACCGAATCCACAGCACATTCAAGATGACAATTAAGTACATAACAATGAGGCAAAATTCTGAAAACAGGATTTTCAAATATATGTTGATCAGCCTAATGAAAAGTCAGTGATATTCCAGATTCCTTAAGCAAAGCCTGTACAAACATATGGGGTTTGTCAGTACAGACCAAGCAAGGTGAAAAGTTGAATGACTACCCAGATAATTTGATTCCAGGAGTTTGCTTGGATCATTCAAACCAGTACTTCCCCTCTTCCTATCCTTCCCTGCCCCCCACCCCCATCCCTAGCTTTTCCCCAGCATATTTTTATATCTACAATGTCTCTATATAACTATATAAACCTTCCATTTCACTTTGACTGTGTAGACATAGGCCTCAGCTACATATGTACATACAAAATACAGTAGAAGTTCCAAGGGAACTGGATGGGCGAAGTATACTGATCTGAAACTGTTTTCCTCTACCGTGCAGCTCCAGCAAGAGGCAAAGTAAAGTGTGTGAATTAACTTGGATACATTACATCTAAAATCCCGGCCTTTCTTTCCAGGGTCTGAATTATTTGGATGATTGTCCAGACCTGACTATGGATATATATCCAGGTACATAGGCATATTTCTGTGTATGTATAGGCCATATAAATGATCTATATAGTGCCAAGTTCAAATATTTCCTTCTTTACTAATACTTATCCTTGAATTCTTAGAATACCTGCCTCCCCTTTACTTGGATTCTGGGACGAGTTAGATTATCTATGAGCAAGAGTGTCTGTTCAGAGCTATCCTTCCTCCAGAGTAAATATAGGGAGTCAGAATGGGGGATTGGGATGGATTACAAAAGAAAGAAAAGAGCTCCTGCTCTCAAGGTGCTTACACTCATTTTATACTCAGCTGTTGTCCTATTACCAAACAGTAGGATGAAAAGAATATTCAAATGTTGAGATGGCAGTTGACTCAACGGCAAACATTTACTTACTTGTAAATGAGTTTTTCAATTTCTAAATGGCATTCAGTAGATACAATCATATTGGCTATATAACACAAGTGGAGTGGTGTTTGGAAAATTAACTCATCTACTTGATTCTTTTTTTAAATTTTTTATTATTTGTTTGTTGATTTTAGAGAGAGAGCACACGAGAGCGGGGCGGGGGGCACAGAGGGAGAGGGAGAGAGAGAATCTTAAGCAGGCTCTACACCCAGCACGACGGAGCCCAACATGGGGCTCAATCTCACGACCCTGAGATCATGACCTGAGCCGAAACTGAGAGTCAGACGCTTAACTGACTGGGTCACCCAGGCGTCCCATACTTGATTCTCTTTAAAGAACTAATTTACAAGGTGTGCATTTTATCCATGGCTATGTATAATGATTCAATAAACTCAACAGCTGTTAAATCTCTAAGGTAACTATTAAATCCGAGGTAGGATAAAAGATGATTGCAGAGCCTCTACCCTGACCATGTTCTCTACTGATCTGTTGCTGTTGACTTCGGGATCACGGAAAGAAAGAGGGGGGAAACTGTTGAGAAAGAAGATGGAATGGGTTTGAACCCGCTGGGTTGTGGAATTAGATGTAAATGTAGAGGAGTTGTCCTCCCTCAAACCATTGGGGCCATTGTAAGAGTTAATAGATGTCATTATTTAAAGTTATCTCTTGGTTAGCACTAGTGGAGCTAAGCAATGATGCGAACATGAAGAGAAGAATTTTTATTTGAATTTGAAATGCATTGTGTGATTTTTTTTTTCCTACAGCAGATGTGTGGTCCTGACAATATTTTACTCAGGCTATTACTAAGTTACTTTATGTTACCCGAATCTATATCTATTGTAGTGGAGGTGAGTGGCTGAGGCCAGTTGAGAGACTGGGAAAGGATAGTCCCCTATTTAACTTTTGCCACAGGCAAGTCACCTGTGGGTAATCAAGAGTTAATTGAATAATTCATAGGAAAAGTCAAATGTTGAATTTGTAAGCAGTTCTCCAAAGAATATGAATGTTGGGGAGCCTACCACTGAAAACTAAATCAAAACACTTTTATTCACATTAGCAGGTATGTTTGGCCCTAAGTACCCAAGCATCAGGCTGACCTCTCCAATGGAGAGTGCTTCTGCCCCAGACTTTAAAATGCTCTTGGGGCAGGGCAGTGGAGATTTTGTGGGAAGGAGGACCTAAGTTTTGCTGGTGGCCTATCTTTTCCAAAGCATGTTTTGTGGGATTGACCATTTCCCCTGCAAACTCTTGGCCTCTATTTTCTCTGGAAGTCTGGTTTGGACAAGAACAGATGACCCACATCTCCTGACTTGCTGACAGTCCATACGAGGCGTGCCTATAAAATGGCAGAGGCCACCGAATGTTCGCCATGATGGTGAACGGGTGATTTCTATGTGAACTCCTGATGAGAAATGCTCCAGAGTAGGTACTGATCAGCCTTCTTTAGTGTTCGAGGCACTTTTCTGAATTTCTTGGGATAAAAACCATTTCCAGCAGATTGCTAGTCTCCTCTGGGTGTAAGGACAAGCCATATTTTTTCCGTAAACTTTCAACACACTCTCCTCGCAATGTCTGCACGTGGAATCGTCTCAGTAGTGTAACCAGGACGACTTTCATCATCACCATGGCGATGTACTTTCCTGCACAGCTGCGGGGCCCAAAACCGAAAGGCTGAAAATACCTGTAAGGAACCTATGAAAACGATCAGACAGTTAGCCAGAGTCATGCAGTCTCTGATTCACCCTGAAACCACTGATGGGTCAGAACGCTGTGACAGGGTCCAAACCATACTGTCCCCTCACTGAGATGAGTGACTGTAACTTCTTTATCCAATGTGATTCACCCCCTGTGATATATGCCCAGTTTGCACAGTCCCCACTTTTGCTTTTCACGTAAATTTCCTGGGGTAAAGCAACACACATCATCTTATTACAGCCAGTGTTATCATACTCAACTAGGTCTGTGGAATGGGCCACAGCTTTACTACTCTTCTGCATGTCACCAAGGCAAAGATTGTTTCTGTGCAAAGATGTTGACTCCTGGCCTATTAGCACCAAGCATCCAAATATTTTTAGTTCTGCAAAAAATTAATGGGGACCACATCTGTCTGTCTTGTTACCATCTGTGCTTACATAGTACCTGGCACATAGTAGATGTTCAATAAGTTTTTGTTGACCAGTTGTCAATATAGCACGGGTTGCTCACATAGAAACGGAATGAATTAGGGAACTGGATTAATTAAGATCATGTTTCTACATTAGATGCAAATGGAAAAATAGAACAGTGAGGGAAATATTTGGAAAATTTTGGTTAATTAACATCATTGCCTAAAATTTGACATAATTGAAGCAGAATCTACAGTATATTTCAATGATAGAAAAAGCTGAAGCTCTTCTGATTACTGAATTCTATTTAGAATGGGAACTAGTGTTCATGGGGCCATTTGGTGAACCAAAGGCAGACTGCGAAAACTAAATCTTTTGGTCTCGTTTGATTTCCATCTGAAGCACAACTGGATTTTCCTTTGCTTAGATGGTGCTAGAGCTGAGTCTATGTGATTACAAAGTGACAAGTTGAAATGGAAAAGTAGGTTGGTTGGGTTAAACAACATTTGCCTCATGGTAGCCAAATTAAGGGCCTGGACTTTTCACATTTTGACCCATTGTGTGGGCACCATGTGGATAATTCTCAGAGCTGGAGACCCAGCATCCTTGGCTTGAGGATGAATATGGTAGTCATGTTCTGAGCCAGAGGAAACATGTTCTTCTGGGGAGGCCATAGAGGGGAAGAAGTAAATTGAATGAAATGTACATGGTGCAAACACAGAACCGGAGAGGGTTTAACAGTTGACATTTTTAAGAGTGGTGCGCTTGGTTTTAAGGAAGGGCTCTTACATTCTTTGCAAAGTTTTCAAGAGTAAATTCATTGGGCTTGGGGAAAAACTCTAGTCTATGCATCCTTCCAATATTTAGGATAATGTTAGTCCCCTTTTTCACTGGGTAGCCATCGATGACATCATCCTGTAAGGCTTTGCGCATGACCAAGTTCACAACAGGCTGGTACCGCATGCTCTCGTAGATAAAGTTTTCCACCACTTTTAATTTTTGCATATCATCAATTCTTACATCTCTTTCACCTGCGGGAACAGATAAACAGGACAAGGAGGTAATGATAGTTTCAATATGTGATGGGCATTAAAACTCCCATAGTTTCCATAGAACAGTCTGCTCCTGGCTGAAAAAAAAATTTTTTTTTTCTAGAATTCTAATGCAAACCAGTAACCTGGGCCAAATATGTCATTTGGTTCACAGCGTGTTTTGTAAAAATTCAGATTTGAAGCCAATTACTATAAAACCTAGGAGATTTCATGGAAAAGCCTGGATCTCTAGAAAAGTCAGAAAACCTGGTGATATTGGACCCACATCCCTATATGGCAATGAGGGGCTGAACTTGAGTGGCCGATGAGCCCTTTAGAGGGACATCCACCTGCAGTTATATGTAGACCTACACAGTCTGCTTCAAACATTTATCTGCCTGGCCTCTGAGGTCTTTGAGATTTGTCTCCTCCTCTAAATTCTAGGGGACATTCACTCCTTCTCTAGTCAAAGTGAAATGGTGAATTAAACCCCTTTCAACGAAATTTTCTCCTCTGGTTGCCTGTGCAGTCATCTGCCTGGAACGCATCACTGAGAGTCCCTCCTTCCATCTCATCAAGAACAACCTATTGCGGTAGAGTGGCAAGAACCTCTCTCCCTACCACAGCAAAATAGGTGCCTCAGCTAAACTCTGGGTGTCCTGGGGATTGACAGATACTCCCACTGTTTCAGGCTGGCCTGACACTGGTCAGAGAGGCTTGGATTACTCCCAGAATTGGCAAAGTTTCAGAGCAGCTTGAACGGGTTACCACTTTTGCAGAATCAAAATCAGTCCAGGGTCCTGAGGCAGCCCTGTCTCCTATACAACTACACCATTCAGAGAGGATCTCATTTGGTCAGAGAACTCTAACAGCCCTGCCCCTTGCATACTGCTCTCTGTACACTCAAGGTCTAAGGGGGTACATTTATCTGGGGTGAGGGGGTAGAAGGGAAGACGACAGAGAAGGTAACCAGAGGCATTCCCTAGGAAGTAATTAATGTGTGTGTGTATCTAGAGGGAGCACGAACACACGTACAAATGGTTCAGCTGTTTTCCATCTTTGCAGAGGTTTATTTATCAGGGGGACGTCATGGGGCACAAACACTTTTCACCTCTCAAGGAAATTGTATTAAAGGCTCATGGTTTCAAGAGCATTTTCTCACTGTTGCCTGAACTCCCTCATTCTATGACTCTTCACTCCACTGGGTTTGCTTGTTAATTTCTCTTTCTCCTGCCAGCCTGTGAGCCCCATAAGTATAGGAATAGCTCTGGCTTAGTCACTGATGTGTCCCTGCACCTAACCCAGAACCCATAACCTGACGGGGGCACATGAGAAACCATTCTGGAATTTGGGGCTTGGTTGTTATTCTGGCTTCCTGCTATCTATCTTCCCAGGCAATTTCCCATTTACAGCAACACATCTGTAGACCCTTTCTCTCACGTATTTAACTCTTCTGTGAAATTTCCCCTTACTATCAACTATTTCAAGTAGCACTCAAATGGCTTTATTTTTTTTTTTTTAAGATTTTATTTATTTATTTGAGGGAAAGACAGAGAGAGGGAACACAAGCAGGGGGAGTGGGAGAGGGAGAAGCAGGCTTCCCGCGGAGCAGGGAGCCCAATGCGCAGCTCTATCCCAGGACCCTGGGATCATGACCTGAGCCAAAGGCAGATGCTTAACGACTGAGCCACCCAGGAGCCCCTCAGATGGCTTTAAAAAATGGTGCCACTCTACAACCAAATAAGTCATTTCACAGGGATTTTGTATAAGGTCAAGAGAGAAAAGTCTATGTCATTACTGATATCTCCTCATATGTCAGAAATGTGTTCCTAAAAAGACTATCCATGTAGGGGCGCCTGGGTGGCTCAGTCAGTTAAGCTTCTGACCCTTGATTTCCACTCAGGTTGTGATCTCAGGGCTATGAGATCAAGCCCTGCCTCAGGCTCCACGCTGTCTCTCTCCCTCCCCCTCTGCCCCTCCCCAACAACCCCACCCACCCCATGTGCAGGATAGCTGCACGCGCTCTCTCTTGCCCTCTCTCTCTCTTAAAAAAAAAAGATTATCCATGTGAAGGACATTTCAAATAAGGAATTCTGTTTTTTCCCCCCAGAATGCAATTGTGATTTCTTCCGAATGTGACAGTGTTTGTATGGAAGGAGGTGGCAGCGTCAGGAGCAGTGGGCGGAATGATGCTCAGGGAAAGGCAGAGCAGGGAAAACGTAGTGTTGGGAAGAGCTGAGCAGGGACCTGGTGGAGGAGGAGAGGGCAGGGGGAAGAAGGGTCCGGCATCACTAGATTTGGGGGAGAGGGAAACTGATCACTCTCCTGCCTTTGCTGTCATCCTCCCCTTGTCCTTCTGCCACTGACTGGAAGTTCACTTGTGGACAGACAGCTTGAAACCCAGAAACACTGCTGGAGATGATAACCAGTTCCCTGGGTGGACCCACAAAAGCATTTGGCCCCCGTAAGGTAGGCAGAACATTTACGTGCACATTAAGAAAGACCTTGAAGAATACACAACAAAGTATTAACAGTGGTTCCCCCTGGGGAATGCAAATGAGGCTGGTGAGGAGAGTGGAAGGGGTAGGGAATGTCACTTTCTGCTTTATACATCTCTGTGTTATTTAATTTTGTTTCAGTGAGCATGCATTGTTTTTATAATGAAAAAAAAAAACACAGTAAGAATGGAACTAACTTTGCAACCTATCTGGCATAACAAGTGTGGCAAAATGACTACCTTTATTGTTCTCTGGGTGGATTATAATAAAGATTTTGTTTGAAATCAGATTCTTAGGACATAAAAAGCTGACGTTCAGAAGGAATTGTTATCTAAAGCTCTATTATTATTTGATCAGTTCTTACCAATAACAGTCTGGATCTCCTTCATTATTGCCTCTTCAACCTTAGGGTGCTTTGCAATGAGAAAGAGCATAAAGAACACAGAGACAGACATGGTGTCTGGTGCTGCAATCAGCATTTCCAGTATGCACTGGTTCACATTCTCTCTTGTCAGGTCACCACGTTTCTGAACAATTGGAAGAAGGGAGAAAAATTGGAAAAGTGAATCAAAGCTTCCAAAAAGAAGGGAAAGGGACAGTCGGGATCAAAAACATCAATGAAATGAAGTCATAAATATTAAATCTCTGTAATTGACTATGGACATTTTTCATAGTAGTCTTCAGCTGAAAGAGGAAAAATTTAACCAATTATCTACGTATTTACTGTCTCTGGGCTCTCTCATTTTCATATTTTGTATTGTCCAGACACAGTAGTTTCAGTCTTAAAGGTTAGTTTTGCCAGAATGTCTAATGAGTGGGCTCTTTGGGTCATCATTATAGAAGTACTAGAGCAGATACTTAAAAGCAGAAGTATGAAGCAATTACAAGAGGGGGTCTTTACATAACCTACACACAGTCAAGTACATATATTGTATGGGAATTATGGTTAATCCAGGTCAGTACCTCAGCAAAAATCAACTCGGTGGCAAAATCCATATAGTCTTCCAGTTTCTCTGCTGTGGAAATTCTGTGTCTTTTTTCTTCTATCAGAATTTCCATGGCATCTTTCAAATCCTTGCTAAAAAAAAAGAAGTGAAAATATAATCTATCTGTAGTCAGTTAAGACATCTAGAAAAATGAATTCACTTGCCATTTGTTTAAATAAAATTATCTGCTTTAATTGAAGCCATTAGCACTCACGAATAACTGAATTTAAACTTAATTCTTCATAAAGATCCTTAAATTACATATTCATTATGCTTCATGTTAAGGAACCAAATTTAGCTAAGGTTTCTAGGTACTGGCAGCAAAATGAAGGCTGTAACCTCTAGTTAAAGGTTAAAAGCTGGTACCAAAATGGTAAATCCAGCCGTGTTTTCTGATTATTGATGTGTCCAGTACAGTGTCTAAATTGAAAAACAAAACCAAAAGCCAGTGAAGGTCTTCAGTGGGGGCAGGCACTCTCCAATTTGCCCCCAGCACCTTCACTTCCAGGGGACTTGTAACCACCCAGCCCATTTCTCTTTGCCCAGCTCCAGAAACAATTGAGTTTGAGATGTCCTACTCTAGAAAGTGAGCACAAGGGATCAAGTATTATTCTTGATATTTACTCTTGTACCTTGCAGTTTCTGCCACATAGTAAACATGAAGTAGATATATAGTGACTGACTATCCGCATGAGTATGTATAGCATATGCATTTTGACAGCGTAGTAGAGGGAAGAGCACCTTGGAAAGAGAGAGTCAGGTTCTAGTTCGGATCGTTCTCTTTCTGTGTAACCTACTTTACATCTCTTACATCTCTTTTAAAGGGAAGGGCTCAGACTCAGTGAACAAGTTCATCTTAAGATCTAGATTCTGCTATTCTTGCCTTTGTCTTAAAGTGTATGCCTCCATGTGTAAGTGTATTGTCCCCTAATCTCAGGGAATGGTATTCTGCATTACATTAAATGTACAATAAATCTTTCTTTGAAATTTTTGTTGACATGGTACCTGTACACCTTGTTGATGATGTTGACGTGAATAGCCTCTATGTTTACTCCAGTGCAGTAAGAAAAGTAAGGGAAGATTCTTTAAGATTCCTCCCACTTTTTAAAGTTTCTTTTGGGCATCTCAAGGAAGGTGTTTATTTTTTTTTGAAGATTTTATTTATTCATTTCTCGGGGTGGGGGGAAAGAGAACAAGCAGGGGGAACAGCAGGCAGAGGGAGAAGCAGGCTCCCCACTGAGCAAGGAGCCTGAGGTAGGACTCGATCCCAGGACCCTGGGATCATGACCTGAGCCGAAGGCAGATGTTTAACTGACTGAGCCACCCAGGCGTCCCTCAAGGAAGGTGTTTAAACATTTGAAGAGGTATTCTTCAGGCTAGTATAGTAATTGTGTCACTCAAAATGAGGTGCCATCTATTGTGTATCTCTGTAGGTGTGAATATAGATACATACATACCGCCAGGAATACACCAAGGATATATTCACATTCATTCATTCATCTACCAGTCCATTTATTCAGCAAATATTTGTTGAAACTCTTACATAGAAGGGACGGATATTCACTCAGTTGGTGGGCTGTGAATGCTCGTAGCATTCCTACCTGAGCAATGGCCCCTAAATGGTCTAGGAGTTGTTGAAATGCCCTAAGACTATAAATTCATGGAGAATTCCTTGATGGAACTACAGCCACTTCTGAACATCTACTTCCTCCCTGGGCCAGAATTGGGGGTCTATGAATGCCCATTGGGATCCTCCTTATTCAGGTTAATGTATGCATCTGAATTTATATGCCCTTAAAAACTGGGAGAATTGAGTTCAGTGACAGTCTTCAGGGAATAGGAAATCTGACTTACAATCATGTATTATAAGAATATATCTGTGAGTCTGTGTTTTGGAACTCTGAGCGTATTTTTCACACAAACAAGGGTGGCTAGGTTATCAGTCCAGGCCACAAACACCTATTTAAGGTATTCTGTGGCTAAAAAGCCTTAAACTTGCCAGAATAAAAAGTAGAAAACAATATTGCTGTAATATTGGGAATCAAGACAGGCAGAAGTATAAAATCGAATAAATAGGGATGGGAGTAGATGTCCCAGAATCCCTTCCATCAGTATATTTCTAAAAAGTATTGGCATGACAGAGAAAGACAACTAGTATATGATCTCATTTATATGTGGAATCTTAAAACAAAACAAAAAAAACTCTAGCTCATAGATACAGAGAACAGATTGGTGGCTGCCAGAGGTGGGGGTGGGGGTAAGACTGGGCAAAATGCCTGAAGGGAGTCAAAAGGTACAAACTTCTAGTTAAAAAATAAATAAATCATGGAGACATGATGCACAACATGGTGACTATAGTTAATACTGTATTGCAGATTTGAAAGTTGCTAAGAGAATAGATCTTAAAAGTTTTCACCACAAGAAAAAAGTTTTGTAACTAGATATAATGGTGATCATTTCACAATATATACAAATACTGAGTCATGAAGTTGTTTGTATACCTGAAAGTAATATAATGTTTTATGTCAATTATACCTCATTAAAAAAAAAAAAAAACATTGACATTATTGCAATGGACATGGATGGGAGAGGAGATTAAAAGATTTCTCGAAGTCTTTACTGCTCTAGGATATAGGAGATATAGATTAATGTACTGACCATTGGCAAATATTATATACAGAGGGAGAGTTGCGGAGCTAATTTCTATAGAAACCTAAGAGAAACCATTATACAGTTTCATGCAATAAGTTTCAGTGGGCTTGCTGGCCAAAACCAAAGCCATACTAATGACCAGGAACTATAAAATGAGACTCTTCAGACCACTGCCAAATTTGAACATAGGGAAGAGATGAATCCTTCATCTCATTGATTCAAGTCACAATAAGGTCTGGTGGAAACTAAATGAAATGTATAAAGACCCAGGTTTCCAAATCACCTACCTAATACTCACGAACCACATGAGAATATATAAAGCAACATCAAGTTGGCTTCCTTCCTGGAGACTAACGTTACTAAATTTCAAAATACACAAACAGGATAAAGTTGGGTCTTTGCACAAGTTGGGAACTTTTAGAGATGGAGAATTTAGGATCATCAGGGACATCCGGGAGAAGATACGAACAGAGGGAAGGAGAAAACTAACATCTTTAGCACCTTCCATGTGCCATCCTCTGTCTTAATTGCCCTGTGTATAGGATCTCATTAATCTATATCTCTATTCTGGAAGGTAGGTTAAATTTTACTTTAAATAACTTCCCAAAGCCATTTAGTTACTAAGCGGTAGAGACAGGATATAAACCATGTCTGTCTGTCTCTAAATCCTGTAGGCTTTTCACTAGTGGTTAGAGGGGGTAGTGTTCAGTGGCTGGCTTAAACTCTAGAAACCTATTTTTTAGTCTATAGGCCATTGGGCATTTGTCCAATTTTTGTCTAGACTCATCTATAACCAAAGCAAAGTCATTAATGATGGTTTCAGGATTCCCCAAAGACTATTATCTATGACTAAAAAAAAGGAAATCACACATTTTATTGAAGTCCATTATATTCATTGTGAAAAAATTCTTTTGAGACTACTGTTAATTCCTACAAGTTGAATTATGTTAAGTTCATTCAGAAGCAACATGACTATAAAATGATTTTGTGTTTCCATTTTCCAGATATGAAAAGAGAATTTTTACAGATAATAATGATAGGTTCAGCCAACCCTTCTCTTCAACTCAAACTACACTGCGGTGTCCTAATTCCAGACATGGGGCTCACAGACCACCCACTTGGCCCCTGTTGAAAAGCTGCCTGGGCCCAACGCTTCCCTTACTCTTGGGTCTGGCCACCGCATGCAGCCAAATTGCTTACAGTGTTTCATCAGCAACTTAATCCACAGCTTCCCTGTGGGTTCTGAAGGCAGAAAGCTAGCTGAAGAGGCCAGCAATAGCAAAGACACAACCCAAAGTCAATCCAATCTCACTGGTAAGTTTTCCAAACTTGTGTTACTTACACAGACTTTTCATACTTTTTGTATAGCCAAGAAATCTTAAAGAAGATGTCTGGTTTGAGAAGGAGAGCTTGCCATGCATCAAAATAACCCTGGATTTTAACCACGATGGCACTTTCTGGAAAAACAAACAAACAAAAAAGCAGAGTAGTTGAGCAAAAATGTGAGCCCGAGAAGGGTATTCTGAGAAGAGAAGATCCCCTGTATAGAGTCTCTTACCAGCCTGGGCTTCAGTGGGTGTTTCAGCCATATGAATGCCACTAGACAAATCAACATTAATTTATTCTGCTTGACATCTAAATCAGCCAAGTTAACCAGAGATTTGCCACTTTTCAAGTTTGTGTTAGAGACAAAGCCTAGAATCTCACATGCCCCTCTTGGACTGAGTGTCCAACTCCTTCCTGTTTTTTTTTGGACAATGGGAAATAAGAGGGACACCAGGAATTATGGCTGTTATTGGCCTCAATTCTGGCACCTGCGAGGGCAAAAAGCCATGCCACTTTTCTGGTTACATTTTGGTCCAGAGTATAGAATTCATCTTAGTATCCCTAATGTCTTGTCCTGAGCCTCATGCATTGTCAGCTCCTAATGAACATCCTTAAATTGCATGTTTAGGGAAACAAAACCCCTGCTTTTTTCAAACTTTACAAAAAGGAAGGGAACAGACATTTCTTTTCAACTGCTAAATACCAGTCACCATGCAAAACGCGTTACAGAAGAGACCTCATTTAATCCTTACAGTCTTGCTAGGGGAGTGATATAGTGTCATCACTTTTTCAAATGAAGAAACTGCGGTTCATAGAGAGGGAAGCTTGGGAAGCTTGCCTAACACCACGCAGCCAGTGTGGCAGGCAGGCCCTCAGTCTGGAGCCCAGCCTATCTGACCTCAGAGCAATGTTCTTTCTCCTTGTTGCACTGGTTCCCTTAGGCAAATGGAGAGTTTAACCAGGACAGGGTGTGGAGAAGAGGAATCAAGGTACTCTGCATGGGTTATGCAGGTTCTTAGCATCACAGCCTGCATCCCTAAGTTAACAGAGAGATTTACAATTCTGTTTACTTCATCCTTCCTAAGAGGCCAGCCGGGGACCATGAAGCAGGGTCTAATAAAATACAGACTTGCCTGACCTTTGGGAGAGCTGCATGTAGGACAGGCCAGCTGGGATTAGAGTTTCTGTCTGAAGGGGATGAGGCAAGGGGTGTGATTAAAAATACTCAGAGTTGAATGGGGCTCCCATTCAAATGGCAGTCAGATGAGGTTTCTGTGACTCTTGTAGGAAATAAGTAAAGAGCCGGGGACATGAGGTAAGCAGAGCTAGAGAGGAGAAAAGGAGGGCTTATAGCTTGTCTGTTCTTCCAAATGTGGCCAATGAGGCAACAGGTGTTATAGCTCAGCTCCTTTGGGCCAGTGTTAAAATGAGGTGCTGTTCCCTCCCTCAAACCCGGATGTGGCTCCTGGTCTCATTTCATTTAGGCTGATGTGCAGGTGTCCTCCTTGTGCAGGCCTTTCCTGACAGCCCTCTCTGGGATAGCCACCCACTCCCCCTCCTTCTTCACTTCCTATCCCCTTGCCCTATCCCCTTGCCTTGCTTTAGTATTGCCTGATGTGTTATTAGATATTTACTTGTTTGCTGTTTATATTGCCACTGGGATGTGACCTCCTTGAAGGCAAGGACTTTATCTGTCTTGTTCACTGCTCAATCCCCAGAACCTAGAACAGTGCCTAGCATAAAATAGGCAATTAGCAAATATTTTTAAATAAAATCTTTAAAAAATATATTTTTTGAATGAATGCATGAGTCAGTGAACATGCTAGAATTCAGGGAAAATTACATTAAGCTGGACAATAGCAGCATGGAATTAACCCAACTGATTGTTTATTTTTTGATGGTGATAGAGTTGCATGTATATGTTTTAATATTTGTTTCTGTAGTATAGTGACGGGAGTAGCTTTTTGAGTGGGACATTCTTGCCAGAGTTGTTATAATACTAAATGACAAACTATACGTAAAGCAACTTTTTTATAGTAGATTCTAAATTAATGGTAGCTATTTTCATCATTTCCAGCAGCACCAGCACCATTATCATTGTATAGACAGAGACCAAGTTTTCATGCTTAGTAGCTTTGAGGGAGGAGGGTATGTGTATATTTATGTACATATGTATGTATGTATATCTGTGTGTGTGCATGTGTGTGTGTGTATGTGCCCACAAGAATGGTTGGAATTGGTTAAATTTATCAGTTTGATTGGTAGTAGGGTGTATTCATGGCCAAATGAACTGATCACATTTGTCAAGTTTTGACTGTGGGTAGAATCATATTTCCCAGAGCAATGAGGAGAGATACAAAAGAGGAGATGGCCCCTACTTACAGAAACTTCTGTCTTATAAATGAACAAGGCAGACACACTAGAAAAAAAATCATAAGAATACTTAGAGATGTTTGAACAAGAGCAATGTACAAAAACAGCATTATCTTTCCTTGAGTCTCTTATCCCCTTCATCCCCTTGTTCAATAAAGGGCAGAATGTCAATTCTCAAGTACCGTCCAAGGGGATCCCCAGGAAGAGAATGTTAGAGGTGTCCAGCATGATGCGCCGCATGAGGGTCAACACGTCGATGTAACCCAATTCGTTGCTGACCTCCTCCAACCTGTCCAGATGTGTGATGATGGATCCAACACAAATTGTCACCATGCGCACAAGGCCGGGGCCAGACAAAGCTGAGGGTAACACATCAGAGAGTGAGTCACATGAACTCAGGGGCACACACAATCAGGTTATTTTGGCCTTTTCTGTTTGGAGTTTAATTATACATGATTTTTTATTCAGTAACTTGGCAGAAATTTTCATGTTCTTTTTTATACTTTTCTGCATTCTCCTAATTTTCTACAAACATGCATCACCTTTATGGGTAAAAGTGAATGAATGAATGAATAAAAATCTTATTTTAAACAAAATATTCAAAATTAAACTCTTCTTCATGTTACAGAAAATCATTTGTGAGACTGCAAATGAAACATTTAGTACTTGCGGTCATGAATCACACATCAGTGGTTTTCCATTTTTACTGTATATATATTTCCCTAAAGAAGGTTTGGATTTGGCCAGGGAGATACTTATGTTTCAACAGGTGGCAGGGTATTGCTATCGAACTACTCAAACTGGACCTTAACTATTTGATCTAAAGTGCTTCCTGTTTAATTGTGGTTTATGTGGTTCAAAATGCTAGTCTTACAAATTATCAAAAGGGTTCTTAATTTTGGTTTCTCCTCAAACTACTTCTAGACTTGTTTTACTCAACCAAGGTCATGACAATTAAGCAATTTTTTTGTTTGCATACTGTCTTCCCCACTGGTTGGGAATTCTTGAAGGGCAGTGACAACCTCCTATTAGCACTGTCCTTCAAGTCCACAGTACATGGTGGCCTTCAAATCATATTTGTCAAATAGAGGAATGAACGAATGAAAGGATGGGTGAATAAATGAGTAAAGACAGGTAGAGTGAATTGGCTCTGCTCTAGATCATCTGGGCAGCTAGTGGTTCGTGGTGGTAGGTGATCTATCTAGAGAGTTTAACTCTTAAAGCCCTACTTTCTCTCTTTGTTCTATTTTTTTTAAGCTTTCTTTAAGAGTTATCTCTCCTATTTCTGTATTTTATTATTCAGACTTACTGTTAAAGTCAGTTATTGAAATGCAATGAAAAATCTTGGGGAAATTTGTAGCCATAATTCTTTCTTAAAAAAAAAACAAAACAAATATCAGTTGCACAGCAGAAGCCCCTGAAGGCAGACTTTGCAAATAAGAAAGGAAGCCTGGTGAGCAGTTCTAGATTCTTAAGATTTCTACTTATATGTAAAAAGGAAGGTTGCGTTGGTAGCATACTTTCTGACTGTAGGAAATACCTGGCCGATATGAAAGGCCAGGCTGTTGTTTCCTGGGTGACTATCACATTCACAGGTGGGACGCATGATTCCTTAATGACTCAGCACTTTGTGTGGAAGGGTTGGCTTCGAATATCACTGGTGGTTTCCTCCCAGACTGATGTATGACTTGTCCCTATCGTCCTAGAGCTGGAAGCCATGTTTCAAACGTGTAAGCAAAATGTAATATCATTGCTTATAGGCAGTGGCATGATGTGGATATAATTTTAATTTTTAAAATGTGTGAAAAAGTACTGAATCTTATCCAGGTTTAAAAAAGTGAGCAAGTAATCAGCATAATTCCTTCACTATGGACAACTCTCTTGGCAGTTTCAGGAAACAGAGGCTATTTCTTGACCCTCCACCTTCATCACTCCAGGATGGGCCATTTGCCTAGGCTGCACTTCACTATTTCTCCATAGATACACCCAGGCAATCAATGCCTTCATTAATGTTACTACTTTAGATACCAAAACATACCCCCAAATTTCTACTATATCAGGAAAACTAATGAGAAACATAACTCTAAAAGGAGATTCAAGAAATGCTTGGGGGGCGCCTAGGTGGCTCAATCAGTTAAGCATCTGCCTTCAGCTCAGGTCATGATCTCAGGGTCCTGGGATCGAGTTCCACATCGGGCTCCCTGTTCAGCGGGGAGTCTGCTTCTCCCTCTGCCTCTGCCTCTCACTCATGTTTTCTCTCTCTCAAAAAATAAAATCTTAAAAGAAGAGAAATGCTTGTAACTCATTGATTACTAAAAATGTCAGACACAACAGGGAACTTTTAATAAGCAATTAGACTTCTATTATTTTTTTTAGACCTCTTTTTTGGCATTTAATCTGAGTAGTTTTGTAATGTTTTTATTAGAAAATCTTGTCTTTTATATATATAGGGCTTATCTTTAAAAAAGATTTTTTTTAATTGATTCCAAGTGCCGTAGATTCTACTCTTTTTAAAAAAAATTTTTTTAAATTTATTTATTTTAGAGAGAGGGAGTGAGGGGTAGCAGAGAGGGACAGAGGGAGAGGGAAAGAGGATCTTAAGCAGACTCCGTGCTGAGCACTGAGCCTGACTCGGGGCTCGATATAATGACCTGAGATCATGACCCTGAGATCACCACCTGAGCCAAAACCAAGAGTCAGACACTTAACTGACCGCACCACCCCGGTGCCCCAGATTGTACTCTTTTAACATCTCTTACACTGATGACTTCCCTTCCATCCACCCTGTATCACTGCAGTAGCTCCTAATTGTTCTCACTGCTCACAATCGTGCCTTCTGTCAATGAATCATTCATTCTGCTACCAGAGGAATTTTTCTAAAACTCAGATATGCTCATGTCATTCTGCTTAATATCTTGAATGATTTACTGTAGCTTTTGAGATAAACTCAGTTCAGTGCCTTCCCCTTGGCCTCATGCCTACATGTATCCATGCCAGGCATGAGGGCCTACTTACAGTTAGTTCCCTGGACATACAGTGCTGATCTACCCTTCTCTGTCTTGGAGTACCCTGTTCTTTCCTTCTGTGGAATGCATCCTTGTCAAACTTTCTTAATGTAGGTAGCTTTTACCTTCTTTCCAAACTTATTGTAAGCATCCACTCCTCAGAAAGCCTCCCATGACCCCTGAGGATACTTTAGATGGCCCATTTTTTCTGTGCCCTATAACACTCTGCACACACCTCTAGCATAACACATCACCTAGGATGATATTTGGTAATGTATTGATCTGCCACTCTGTCCCTCCCCCTATTATAAATTCCTTGAGGGCAGGGACCATGTCTTGACTATCATTGTATTTTAGGTACCTAGTTCAATGATAAGAACACAGTAGTTTGTTAAACAAATGGATGAGTTTAGAAAATTCTATTAATCTAAAAAGTTTAAAAATTCTATTAATTTTTGCATGGCAAGGTAGAGGATGTTGGTATGTGAGAGTTAACTGCTCCTAAATACTAGTTCACATGTTCCTAATGTGCCTGGGCCAAACCGCAAAGTAAAAAAAAACTTACATTTCAAATCTTGTCATTTGCAACAACATGGGTGAACCTAGAGGGTATTATGCTAAGTGAAATAAGTCATACAGAAAAAGACAAATACCACATGACTTCACTTATATGTGGATTCTAAAGAACAAAACAAATGAACAAACAAATGAAAAGGAATAGACTCAAATGCAAAGAACAAACTGGTGGTTGCTAGAAGGGAAAGGGTGGGGGGATGGGTGAAATAGGTGAAGGTGATTAAGAGGTACAAACTTCCAGTTATAAAATAAATAAGTCATGGGGATATAATGTACAGTATAGGAAATATATTCAATAATATTGTCACATTTTTGTATTGTGACAGATGGTGACTACACTTATCATGGGGAGCGTTTCATAACATGTATAATTGTTGAATCACTAAGTTGTACACCTAAAACTAATATAATACTGTATGTCAACTATACTTCAACAAAAACAAACAAAAAACCACATTTCTGTAGGATCTTACAGCATTATTTCATTTATTCTTCATAATAACCCTAGAATTAATGTTCTATTGTCTTTATCACCTTTTGCGGAGAAGGAAACTGAAGCTCAGAGAGGAGTGACTTGTCCAAGGTCATATAGCTAGTAAAGTGGCAGAACTAGGACTTGAACCCAAAACCTATAATCCTGAGGCCTATACTCTTTTCATTAAACCAGTCTGCAGTTTTCTAAGGCATGAGAGAGGATTGATCTGCCCCAACACGAGTGGTAGGCAGAATAATAGCCCCCTAAACCTGTCCAGGTCCTAGTCCCTGGAACCTATTAATATGTTACTTTACATGGAAAAAAGGACTTGACACATATGATTCAAGTTAAGGACCTTGAGATGGGGAGATTACTGTGGATTATCTGGGTGGCCCCAACCTAATTACATGAGTCCTCAAAAACAAAGAACCTTTCCCAGTTGATGTCAGAGTCAGAAATTGATGTGATGACAGAAGGATGGTCTGAGAGACATGATAGGAAAAGGACTTGACCCACTGTTGCTAGCTTTGAAGGCAGAGGAAGGGGCTATAGGCCAAGGGATGCAGGTGGCCTCTGAGGCTGGAAAAGACAAAGAAACTCCTCTGGAAAAGACAAATTCTCCTCTGGAGCCTCCAGAAAGAAACACAGCCCAGCCAACACCTTGATGTTAGCCCATTGAGACCCACATCAAATTTTTGACCTACAGAACTATAAGATAATCGATGTATTGTTTTAAGTCACTAAGTTTGTGGCAATTTGTTACAGCAGCAATAGGAGTCAAATACAGTGGAGTCTACAATAGAGTTGTATGAATCTTGGTAATGGGCAACTCTGTAGAGAGAATCAGTGCTCAGCTGGGACAGACATAGCTTCTCAGTAGCCACATGGGAGGCATCCAGGTTCACTACAGAGGCTGGCTTAGAGGGAAGAATATTGCAGTCAGACCTAAGATCCATCTAGCCCCAGATTCTATCACTGACAGTGTTTCCAGGACATGATTATCTTCTTTGATGTTGATGTCAAAGACTGGTCATGTATATTCCCCAACTGCTTCATTCCCAACAAAATACAATAAAGGGGGAAATCACTAGTCAAGGAGCCTTGGGATCAGATCTTTGCTCATTATTATTTGTTATGTTGTCTGAGCAAAAATCACAACCTCTCTAGGACTGCATTTCCCCAACTATAAAATTCAGAGACTGGATGAGATGATATATATAGTCCTTCCTAGTTCTAAAATCTCTAATTTTATTTGCAAATTGCTTTCTGTTAAAACATCTGTGATGTCAGTAAATGATTCAGCAAACACATTGTTTAGCTATGTTTGAATCAAACATGTGACTGACACACTAAATTCTTAATTGAAATGATCCTAAGTACAGAGCTCTATCTCTTCTTCACGTCCATGGAATTGCTTTGTGCATCAACAGGAAGAACAGAGTTTGTGGTGATTAAAAATGTAGGCACTGGCGTTGTCTTCTGGGCCACCATTTACTAATTTGGGGACCTTGGGTAAGTTACTTAACCTATTTACTTAAGCTTCAGTTTTCTTATGTGTAAAATATAAGTGACAAGAATATTTACCACATGGGGTTGCTGTGGGATTAAAATATCAAGTACTTAGAACAGTGCCTACTATATCTTATTATTTCAAAATAAGTGAAGCAGCAGAATTTAAATTCCAGAAAAGGTGGGGGGCGCATTTATTGACAAAAGAGCAGAATGTCACCAGCACTTGATTACCTTTTGTAAAGAAAGGTCGAATGGCTTTCCAGAGGGTCGGATTATTGTTAAATATGATGCCGTTTTCATGCATGCCGATGCACTGCAGTCCAAGTTTGCTGCCAAATCGGGAGCTATAGTGACTGTGCTTCATTATGTGGAACATACTTGAGGACCTGCAGAGATAGCAAACTTTGGTGTTAATTTTTAAGGGTCAGGAGAACTCATGGTGATGATTTTGACTACCAGGTGGCTCTCTTAGCAAATGCATGTTGATCTAAATGCAAGGCATTTGAGGGGTGCCAGTCGTTTAAGCATCCAACTCTTGGTTTTGGTTCAGGTCATGATCTTGAGGTCCTGAGATTAAGCCCCATAGTGGGCTCCATGCTCAGCGGGGAGTCTGCTGGAGATTCTCTTTCCCTCTCCCTCTGCCCCTTCCCCCACTCACACTCTCTCTCCCTCTCTCTAAAAATAAATAAATAAATCTTTTAAAAAAATAAATGCAAGGTATTCTAGTATTTATATTGAGTAAGTGTTTGTTAGCATAAGAACATCCCTCTCCAGTTGAAATATTCCTACCTACTGACTCCCTGCTTGAGCATCACGAAAGATAGAACACACACACACACACACACACACACACACACACACACACACCATTCCTTATTTCCCTTTTTTTTTTTTCTAACTCCATGTCACCAAAATACTACCCACTACTGGGGCCAGAGCTGCAAGGCTTTGAGGACCTGAGCCCTCCACACCACCAGAGGGTCCCGAAAGCCTCCAGCCCCACTCCAGATGGTGCCACCCCCTGCTGGAGTGAGTCTCAGAATTCTGAGATTCTGGAGTTCCTGGAATTGCCGAAGTCTTCTTCCGTTTGGAACCAACAGTTCTGCCTCAGACCACCTATCCTCAGAATCTCTCATCAGGCGTGGCCCCTCCAGTGGGTACCATTCTGGGCTTGAAGGACATCTCCTGGGCACTACTGGCTCTGGCCTTAGCTGGCTGGGCTGGCCCTGGAAGGCTCTCTGTGGTGGTGACAGCAGCTATCTTGAGACTCTGCATTCCATGCTGACTCATCAGGGTCTCCAGGGTCACAGAGTTCTCTCAGGATATAGTAAGCATAAGCAGATTTACTTCTCTCCATATATATTTTTAGGAACTTCAAAAAATTTCCACTCAAGTATATCCAAAATGGATCACCATTTTTCTTGGAGATAGAAAAAGGGAACAGGGTTTGGGAATTAAAAAGAGGGGCAGAGTGGTTAGCAGAGGAGGCGTAGAGGTTTTTGGCATGCAACCGTGGGAGTGTGAAGAAAGGGGAGACGGTAAACTGTCAGGAGTCTGACTTTTGGCTATGTTAACAGTGCCAGAGCCAGGCTGTGTATAAATGTTGCCTACCTATGTATGCTCTGAAGGGATTGTAGGCAGACCTCAAGTGACATAACCCTTGACCTTGGGGCTGAGAACTAAACTACTCAGGTCTGCCAGGTAAGTTAAAATAGATCCCCCAAAGCTTTTTTTCACCTGAGGATTATAAATTACTCCATGTCTCTGAGATCAGAGTGGAGTTCAGAGGCAGAGATCATAAAATTAGAAAGGAACTAAATATTTGAGCAGAGGAATAGGAAGAAAATAGGCACATTATTGCAAGAAAGCAAAATAAATTTATAAACATCTCTCTGATACTGCAAAGGAGGGAGAACCTGGGCATTTTTTCTGGTGTGGGAGGGGTAGAGGGAAAAAAAAAAAGTAACAGAATGGTGCCTTAAATGTGCAAATTCAAAATACATAAAATATCCGTGTTACATTTTAGATGCTGTTATTTTTTTTTATTTTGGTGAACTTAATATTTATACAAGTTTTCACATGTTCATTGTGACTTTGGTTCTTCCTCTCCACTTCTCCACTGAAATTTTGTTTCTTGGCTGCAAATTCTCCTACTATAGGGTGTTTCTGAACACATAACCCTTAGAGATGGGGAGTGACCATTATATAGAATGGCCACTCACATATATAGGTATATGCACCTCGTTCTTACATTGGGCTGGAGGGGCCATCTTACCACTTGCTCTTCCCTCTTAAGGTTGATACTTGGTTCCTAAAAGAATGACGTTGCCTTAATGAGGTTGTTCAGTTAATGCCTGTGAAAACACATTCCCAAAGAAGACATTGGGCCAAAGGAGCTGTGCTCTGGCTGAGTAGATTAGGCTGCGGCCTAAGTATTAGCCAAACCCTCACATTTATGATGGTTCCATAGTCCCATTTAAATTTTAAAAGAAAGACCCTGAAATAATGGCAGTGTCAAGAAATGAAAGCAGAATTATTATATGAATAAATTATGTACTAGATAATTTCTTTCAGGAAAAAATATCTTATTTTCAAATCAAAACACTCTCTATTAAGTCAGATATTCTCTTGAATTGATTCCAGATGATGTTCATCAAATGATCGCTGAGTTTTGGACAAGTTTTTTTCTCTTCCTAGCAACAAAAATAAAACAAAAATCCAGATGCTTCTGTTTGTATTCCAGAGAATTAATTTGACTGACAAACAGATGAAATTTTGCCCTGTATAGAAAAATCGTGCTATGAGAGGACTGAAAAGCTTATTAATAGATTTCAGGACATTAGCTTCTCTTACCTTCCCCTACTTTAGTCTATAATGACAGCAGAAAGTAAGTAATTTGTACATTCTTTATTCACAAATTCATATCTAAAAATTTTAAGTGCTCAGAGGTAAAACAGAACACTATTTTTTTTCTGTTCTGACCCCTAGAGCTTTTATATACTGCATTTAACCACATTAACCTGTCCATTTAATTTGAAGAATTACTAATCAATTTTAAAAAGAGAACAAGAGACCCCAGACTTTAACCCAACTAAATGTGTATTAGTTAATAAAGAGCTAACTTCAAACATAAATGTGTTCTTTAGGGGGTGCCAACATCTCAGTGATTTTTGAGTCAGAGGCTCGGACTTGGCAACGGACAAAGACGGAAGTGATACACCTTGCAGGAGAAGAGTGACCAGCTGCAGGTGAGCAATTTAAAACCAAGTCTTTGATCAAAAGGAGGCTGGCTTTATCTAACCAGAGTAAATCGAGAAAGTGAAGAAAAGAAAGTTGGTGATGAACTAGGGACTCCAGCCCAGAGTGCTCAGGGCATTCAGCAAAACAGTAGAGACCTTGCTCCAGCCTTGGGGGCCAGCCTGTAATACCAGTTAAGGGAGATGTTATACTGACTGGGAGAGTAAAGATTTCTTACCACTCAAGAGAGACCAAGGGAGTCCCCAAGCTCAGAAAAGATAGTGGGTAGTGTAAATTGTATGGTAACTGGGGCCATTCTTTTTCTTTTTCTTTCTTTCTTTCTTTCCTTTTCTTTTCTTTCTTTTCTTTTCTTTTCTTTTCTTTTCTTTTCTTTTCTTTTCTTTTCCTTCCTTCTTATTTGAGTATAGCTGACACAGTGTTACATTAGTTTCAGGAATACAAGATGGTCATTCAACCAGTTTATACATTATGCTGTGCTCACCACAAGTGTAGCTGCTATCTCTCACTATACAGGGCTATTACAGTACCATTGACTGTATTCCCTATCCTATACCTTTCAACCTTGTGACTTACTCACTTCGTAACTGGAAGCCTGTATCCCCCATTACCCTTCATTATTCTTCTTTAAACATGACTGAAGTCAAAAGACATTGCCAAAGATGGCAAACCTATTGTCTATTCAAAATGAAAAGTAGCCAGAGTAAGTTCTTAAGTAGTGAGGAGGAAGCCACCTTCAGTTCTGAATTTAAAGGACTCACACAGGGGCACCTGGCTGGCTCAGTTGGTGGAGCATAGGACTCTTGATCTTGGGGTTGTGAGGTTGAGACCCATGTTGGGTGTAGAGGTTACTTAAAAATTAAATCTTCAAAAGAATAAAAAATTTAAAAAATACAATCTTCAAAAAAGAAAAAAAGGACTAACATATGTGGCTGGGTTCAAGAGTGGTAAGTACTAGAAATACGGAGGAGAAACTAATGGAATAATTGGTACCAAACATTTAAAAGTACTTGCCTGTGTAGACCTATTTTGTGCCTGAGACTTATCGTCCATCGATTCCATTGCCTTTCCCCTGTCCTTTGTCCCTCTAATAGCCTCACTTACCCAGCTTAAATACTGGAGTCACTGCAAGAGAAAAACGATCTTTATAACAGAGAGATCTGCCTATAATTACCCTACCCAATGATCACATTTAACATCCCTTATAGAGGGACAACTTTTCCTTGTCTCTTGATGTGATGCAATATGAAGTGCCCAAAACTACCAAGGAAGTATCATTACAAAAGTGTTTAACCTGAATGAAACTGAGCTTTAAGACATAATTTTCAGTTTATAAGAAATACAGGGAATGGAGTAATATGTTAAGTAACACCATAATGTAATGAGAGAAATTCGGAAATATGGAACATCCTATAAGACAATTGACCTGGTCTCTTCCAAAGATCAATGTCATGTGGGGCAGGGAATGGGAGGACTGCTCTTTCAACTTTCCTGTTCATTTGAACATTTCTTAATAGAAAGTTGGAAAAAAACATTTTATTGTTAATCATTAAAATCACTCTCTTCCCATGCATTCTCAACTCCCTTGACTCTCTCCTTACTTTGTCATAGTTGCCTGGTAAAACCTCACCCCTGGCTAAATCCAACTTTTAGCTTCCTCTGTGCTTGCCCCTGGCAGCTGAATGTGGCTGGGAAAAAAACCACACATGCACATGTTCACACACACACACAGACACACACACACACACACACAGGTCCCAGTTAAATTCAAGGGGGTCCTTAGTGCAGCTGGCCATTCTACAGTTCCCCAAGTCCGTTCACTCTCACTGTTCTAGATGACTATTATATCCTGCCTTCTCTCTCCTCAAATATTCTACTTCCTCAGTCTCAGCTAAGGACTTTATTTCCTATTTTACTGAGGAAAAAGAACTAGAATCTCTGCAAGCTCCAACTATTAGGATATGTGCTCATATATCCAAACTTCCCAAACTTACTGTGGATGAACTTCCATGTCCCTATTTCAAGACCAAATCCACTTGTCACTTGGACCCCCTTTACATCTCACCTAGCACACCCCTTTCTCTTCCATCAACAATTTTGCTCTGTAATCCATCATTGCCATCTCAACACACATGTTGTAATTTCTCCTATCTTAACAGAGACTCCTTGGACCATACATCCCTTTCTATTTCGTTGTTGCATTTCTCTGCTGCCTTTATGACAAACTTCTTGGAACAGTTGTCTACACCTGCTGCCTACAATTCTTTCCCCCCATTCTATACTATAATCAGACTTTTGCCCTCACCACTCCATTGAAACTGATCTTTTCAAGGTCACCCATGACCTCCCTGTTGCTAAATGCAACACTTAAATCTCCCGTTCACCAGGCACTCTCTGGCATGGTTGACAATTCCATCCTCCCTGATATGCACTCATCACCTGGCTTTCAGACCACCACACTCTTCTGGTTTTCCCTTCTTTGGCTATCCTTCTCTAGTTTCTGACTATAGTGGTGAGGGGGGGTGGTCTAAAGACTCAGACCGTCCTTCACAACATCCCACTCAGCTGTCTACTGGGCATGTCAAGTCAAAATACCCCAAATGGAATCCTGATTTTTCCCCATCCCAAACTTGCTCCACTTATCTGAGGTAATGATCCCTTCATTTTTCTAGGTACTTAAGGCAAAAACTATGCTATCACCTTGATTCTTACACCCAACATCCAATCTCCTAGCATCTTACTGGCTTTGCCCTCAAAATATGCCTAGAATTTCACCTCTCATCACCTCTACCACACTCACGTGGACCAGCCATCATCTCTTGCCTAACTGCTCTCTGGGCATTCATCCTTGTTCCTTGTTCCTTGCACCTGTTCTCAAAGAATGTAGGTAGAATGGGAGTAGAATGTGGGTAGAGAAGCCAGTAATGTGCTGAAACATGAATGAATCAGATATGTCACTCTTCTCAAACTCTTCAAAGGCTTCCCATCTCATGCAGGGTAAAATTCAGCGTTGTTACAATGGCCAACAAGGCTCAACATGATTGGGTATCCTAATACCTCTCTAATGTCATCTCCACTATTCTTCCCGTAGCCACACTGATATCTTTGGTGTTCCTTGAACCTTTCAGATGGGCTCCCACCTCAGTGCCTTTGCACTTGCTCTTCCTTTTGTCCAGAATGCTTTTCCTCTACATCTCTGCCTGACTCACTCCCTCACTTCCTTTAGGTCTTTAATCAAATGCTATCTTCTCAATGAGGCCTGCCTCGACTGCCTATTTATAGTTGTACTTCCATCCCTGCAACTGGCCCTCCCCACTTTAGTGTCCTATATAGCTCATATCTACCTGATGATAGTGTGAGCAACCATCTTGGTTTGCTTGGGAATGTCCCAGTTTTAGCATTAAAAGTCCCACATCCTGGGTAACCCCCTAGTCCCAGGCATACCAAGACAGCTGGTCACTCTACTCCTATACTATATGTTTTACTCATCTTTTGTTGGTATATTAACAATACAACAATATATTTCTCCATGAGGATAGGGATATTTAGCTGATTTGCTCATGATACCCAGTGTCCATAGGTAAGTCCTCAATAAATGTTTATTTAATGGATGAATGGGGAGCCAATAATGATTATATGTTAGGATCATCCAGTGCTTAGTATATGTAGTAAATTCTCAACAAATGTATGTTGAAAGAATACATGAATGCATTCGCTATAAATGTACACATGATTAAAACAGATATACAAATATAATCCTAATTAGTATGTTAATTACTAACAGGTTTGCAAAAACAACCCTAATTAGCATGTTAATTGCTAACTCCCCTTAATGGATGTTACCCATATTCTTTTTTTTTTTTTTTGTATTCATTACAAAAACTAATATATACACACAACATGCACAGCATCTGTAGACCCTCATTAATTTAGAGCTCACCGCCTGGGAAACTGTGCCTACTTTATCTACCGATAATGAGATAAACTTTCCCCCAAAACTCTGAGCTGCTCAGGCAACATCCTGGCCGCACTGACTCCCCCCATGAAGTTCTGCAGCCCCCACCACTTCGGGACTATGCTGGTAGGAAAAGTTGGGTCATTATCTCTACTCAGCTGATCTCAAACTTTTCAAAAGAAAAAAACCTGGCAAACTATTCAACTAAAAATAAAAAGCTTTCCGAGGGGCTATTTTCAAGAGGCACGGGTAGTTCTGGAAGGGACCTGAAGAGCAGGCAATGGAAGGAGATGGAGACAAACATGTCCTATTCCCCGCAGGGAGCTCAGCCCTTAACAACAAAATTGAGCGGCTCAGAGGCAATTAAGGAGAACATAAAGACTCTAACCAGTGAAAAGCCTGTGAGGACAGGATGAAGAGAGAACTGGGAGAGCTGGGGGAAGGGTGGGTTGGGTTGTGGGCTCATCTCAAGCATGAATCAGCACCTGAATTGGTCAGGGTCACTAAGGTCACTTTCTTAATGAAGACAGCAGAGCCGTCAGATGCTACCCTGCACTGTCACAAGGATCCTACTTTAGGAATGGCTTTGGGCTTCCAGGATTGGATCTGGTGATCCAAGTATGTAGTATCTAAGAGCGATTTCTGTTCTCGTCCTCTGGGCCTTTGTCACATTCTTCACTCCAGTTCTTGTCTTATACTACCACCACTTGAGCTAGACTGCGGGGTAAGATGATCAGACAAAAGCACTCCAACCCTGCTTAGCTGCTCCCCTGACCCCAAGACAAGGCCCCCTGGTGCCAGAAGCTGCTCACCTGTTCTTCTCTCTCAGGCTCTGCAGCACATTGGCATTACTTGGGGAGCTCTACAAACACCTGATGCCCAGGTTCCACCCCCAGAGATTCTGAAAGTTGGGGTGTGGCCTGGGCATTGGGGTTTTTAAAAGCTCCCTGGGTGACTTCAATGTGGAGCCAGGGTGAGAACCACCGCTTTAGGTCCTGAGCTGTAGACGGATATCCTTTTAGAAAAATACCCTGCGGGTCACTTCACCTATCTGTGATGAGGGCTGGAAGGCAACTCACTATGCTGGTGGATGAAGGAGCAGTGGCAAACGTCTCAAGCCCCCAAGCCCTCATGTCATCAGTCCCAGGACATTTTGAGATTGTAGACCATTGCCAAAGAGAGTAAAGTATTGATGTTTAAAATGAGTACTTATCAAATTCACCTAAATTTGGCTGACCAAAGTAGCTCAAGAGAAGTAAAATCCAAGGGCAATTATTGGTCCCCCACTCCCTTCTGTCAGTTATTTGGTTCAAAGAATTGGCCTTTGAGATTACCATGGTATTTTATGAAATGATGTATGTAATCTTGGCTTGAAAGAAATCAATGTAGTTTCCGGAAATGCTTCACTTACTTCTGGGCAATAGTCTGCATCTGGACAAAAAAATTCTAACATACCAGTAAAACCCTAATTGGTCTTGGTTTGTGGGTAAAGTCCTGTCAGGGAATATAAAAACTCATTAATGAGACAGTGTTGGCATATAACATTGTTAAATATCCAGTAAAGACAGCTGAAAGTCTAGTGAAATGTGTTCTCTTTGAAATTATCCATTTTCTATGATCAATAAATAAGAAAACTAGTATTTCACAAAGCTAGTTCTCTACATTCGATGCCTATTTGATTAACCCTGGATGAATTCAATCTGCTAAACTTATCCAGAAAATACGACAAATCATTTTTTTTAAATAGGCAATGTATTTAAGATCACTCAGCTGAGACACCAGCCCACAGTCATAAATAGAACAGGAGCATATGAATAGCATCTTTTTCTACTGTTTACCCTTCTGGAGGTGCTCCGGAGCCTGCCATTAGAAGCCCATTAGCAAACTGGTGCAGATTCCTTTCTCTCCGGTGTTTCGTTTTAACTGCTTGCTAATAGAGATAAGACCAAAATCTTAGGAAAGCAGAAAAGATAATGCCCCTCCCTAAAATATGTTTTGTCAAACCCAAATCCTTTGGATTCTAAGTTTCTATTCACCGCTCAGAGAAATTTCAAATAGTTTCCCAGCTTTCCAGAGTTCTTTAGAGTACATAGATGTACCTCTGGGTTTAGGCAAGACCCAATGATTCCGCTTGTCTACAGGTTAGATTTTTACCTCGGAAGTAAAAACACAGCCTTAGCAACAAAAGCATCAAGATATCAAAATAAGTGTGTTACTTAATAGGAAAAAAACACAGCCTTGGTTTTGAAAACCTGTCTCTGATTATTAACAGACTCACTTGCTAATAATGAGTGTTTCCTCTCCACATATCCAGACTCTCATGAATTCTCCATACATCTTGTTGTAGTAGTTGCAGGCACTACCAATGCCCATCCACAGGAACCTGCAGTGGGAAATGAGGGGCCCAATCCCCATGCAATAGCCAGGACCTAGGAGAGTTATCAGACCACAGTCAGCATTTTAGCAAACACCAAAAAAGAGCAACTGTTTTATATTATCGCTGCTTGTGTTCTTTGATGTCTAAAAGGTCTTGGATACCTTCTGATGTATATCTGTGAATCTCTAAAAAAAAACAAACAAGCTTAACATGAAAAAACAGTAGTTCAGTGTCCATACCACACTAGTTCTATTTGGTCTCGAACCTTTCAGTCTGAATGAGCCAGGGTAGGTGTCTGCTCTTTTCTTGCCACATTAAACAACGTCAGTGAGTTTTCAATACAAGTCAGTCAGTCCATCTAGTTACAAGCATGGAAACCAGGACATATGACAAGCTGACCGATCTGTTTGGCTGCCTGGTTTTGTCTGAAAACTTTTGGTTTGAATGCCCCAGCTGATGGAATGGGCAGGTTAAAATTAGGTTGTAGTTTTGGTGTAATCTTTTTAACTGAGAGACACGGTCTGCGAAGATAATGTTCAAACAAAGAATATCCATTTTTTTCCCTTCAAAAAGGACTCAGTTTAAGAGAAGAATCCTAAGCTTAGTCTCATTAGGCAAAACATACAGCTAAGCACTGAGGAATTAGGCAATGAGTCCAGTCAGTGTCTGGACTAGAATTTGGGTCCAGCAATGTGGTTTTACTCAAGAGCAGTGACCGCTCATGTCCTTGCTTACATAAAGAACGGAGGAATTTTCTGTTGCTTAGACCAGAGAACAAACTTGGTAGCTTGATTATACTGGTGGCTGTAAAAAGTTAGACAAAAACTTCTTGGAATGGTTTTAGGAGTTTTCCTGTGAAGTAGTAGCTTTTCTACATCAAATCTTTCTCCTTTCATTCCATTCCAGTAGTAAAATAGGAAGCCAACATGCACGACTGTTTGAGACAGTGTTCTCACTCCAGGGGCAAGCACTGTGTAAATAAATCTAGATAATCTAAACTTTTGCTTAAACCATCTAAATTGGATGTTAAATCCCAAATTCGTCAAATAAGATTTAATCCTTTGAAATAGCTGGATTAATGGGAATAAGACTGTCAGGTTTTTTTCCTTAAAGTGAAGGTCGTTTGGGATGCCTGGGTGGCTCAGTTGTTAAGCGTCTGCCTTCAGCGCAGGTCATGATCCCAGGGTCCTGGGATTGAGTTCACCATGGGCTTCTTGCTCCGCGGGGAGCCTGCTTCTTCCTCTGCCTGCCACTCCCCCTGCTTGTGCTCACTCTCTCTCTCTCTCTCTCTGACAAATAAATCAATAAAATATTTAAAGTGAAGGTCTTTGGTAATATCTATAGAACCAAAACGTTTTCAAAGGGTTCTTCTTAATCTTCTGATTGTTCCGAAAACACTGTATTGTAAGTAGATGACTGACTTTATACCTAATAATTTCATTAAGATCTTTAAAAGATTTTTTTTTTTTAAAGATTTTATTTATTTATTTGACAGAGAGAGAGATAGCGAGAAAGGGAACACAAGCAGGGGGAGTGGGAGAGCGAGAAGCAGGCTTCCTGCCGAGCAGGGAGCCCAATGTGGGACTCGATCCCAGGACCCTGGGATCATGACCTGAGCCGAAGGCAGACGCTTAACGACTGAGCCACCCAGGCGCCCAAGTTCTTTAAAAGATTAAAACAAGCAAATTTGAATATGTATTTCCTTAAAAGGTCATCAGATATACAGATCTCTAATCAATTAAAATGTGCATAATAACAAACTACTTTGCTGGGTATTTACAGTTTGAAACATTGTAGATGCCTAATAAGTGTTTCCTGGTGAATTTTTAAAATTAATTAGATATGTGTGTGTAATATAAAGGATGAAGTTTTAAATATCATCCACATTTAGAGTATTTCAGGTTGTATTTACATTTTGATAAAATGGAAAAATATCATTGTATCATGTACGTTTAGTCCATGGGAGGTCAGACATCCGGCTATTTGGGAATAGACTCATTCAACAAACGTTTACTTACTTAATATGCTAGGCCCATGAGGAACAAAGACATGCAAATGAAAGGTTGCACTCTTCATTTTTTATCTAATACTTTGGTGCCATGTAGAAAGTCTGTTTTTTTTTTATTCTTATGTTAATACCATGTAGAAAGTCTTAATATTAAGGAACCACCATTCAAGTTTAAAATATGACAGTGCAGATCTCTATCCACTGAAAAAGGGAGATGGTGATGAAATTTGCTCAGGTTGAAAACCTGAGTGTTCTGACCAGAAGAGAATCCAAGTCTTGGGTCCCTAGTGATCAATCATGTGTCAGCTTAATTCATCCAACAAACACTTACTGAGACCCTACTAGGTTTAGACACTAGCTACAAGTCAGAGACTGGAGATGGAGTGATAAGCATAAATAGGTTCCCAATCAGAGTCCTGGGCAGGAGAGGAGAGTATGGGGTAGGAGAAAGTACAATATTGAATTATTGTAACACAGTGTGATCCTTTCATTTATATGTGTACCTTACACCTTCCAGCTGAGAAAAGAATGTCCTAGGAGGGGAGAAACTTTGGTAGGATATTCGAGAAATATTCTGGTTGCATCCGCATTAAGCTGCTCTCTGCCTCTCAGATTTGGGAATGCTGATTTAGGCCTACAGCAATTGCGGGCACCTCTTTTACACCCTAAGAGAAGCGATAAATACTACACTGCATTTTTGTGCAGAAACAGCCTCCCAGAAGCCAACAGCTGGGACCTCTCACCCACTGTCCTAATCAAGAAGCTGTTGCATTCCCTGGTAGGTGTACACCCTAGAGAAACCTGTGAACGGGAAGGCTCATAGCAGCACTGTTCACAATAGTCCCAAACTAGAGACACCGAAAGGTCCACCAACAGTAGCATCAGTAATTAAACCACGAGATGTTTGTGCTACTGCATACCATATGAGCTATAGAGGCATGTCACTCCATGGATGAAGCTTGCAAGCACAATATTGAGCAAAAGAAGCAATATAGAAGTAATGTAGGACTCGATGGCTAAAACATTTAAAACCAGGCAAAATTAATCTGTATTGCTCAGGGATATGAAATTAGGTGGCAAAACTATAAAAACAAGGGAGTGATTATCACAAATTAGAAGAATGTTTACCTCTGGAGGTGAGAGGGGGTATGACTGAAAAGACACAAGAGAAGTTTCTGGGATCCTGCTAACATCCTGTTTTGTGTCCTGTACTGTGATGACATATTTATTTGTACACTTTTCTGTGAAGTCGTTTTTTTAGTGGGAGAAAGGGGAATGTGTTGCCATGTCCTTTTCCCATTGACCCCTCTGGGGACATGGTGCCCAGGGCAGAGAGAGGCTCTGGGGGAGGGAATCCATGCGCAAAGCTGGGGATGGCTCAAGAGATTTAGCTCTGAGTCCCAGTTTCATCACTTACTAGCTATGCACCATCGATCCTCTTTAATCTCAGTTTCTTCATCTGCAAAATAGGCATAAACACACCTACCTCATCAGAGGGCTATGAGGATCACAAGAGAGAAAGAATGTGAAACTGCTTTGTAAATTGTAACTAACTTAAGGGCTTTTAAATCATTGCAACTTCTTAACTCCCCTTGACACTCCCTGACCCTGAGCTTCCCGCAAATCTGTAAAACCAAGAATCCAGAGAACCAGTGATTCGAGGAAACTGGCAAAAGGAGTTCAGGAAGAACCACCCCAACAAAGCCAATTTTCTCACCTTTCCTTCCCCAGCCGGGCACCATGGGACCTTAGTCTGTGCCACGAGAGGATTCTGACCAGAGCTCACATTTTCAAAGGGAAAGCATGGAACTAGAAGCTCCCTGGAGAGCAAAATGATCACCAACCTGGGATTTAGGAATTCCTGGTTGTTCCCCTCCCCTGCCTTTCCTTTCAAGCTGAGATGCTGATAAGCCATTTCCTTTCTCTGGGCTTTAACCCTCACCTGTAAAATGAAGGGTTTGAACTCCATGGTTTCTTATATTTGTCATAAGGGTTTGCTTGGGTAAGGCAGTTCACCTCTCTGGGGCTCAGTTTCCCCTTCCGTCAAGTGAAGGGGTTGGACTCATATCTATGGCTCTCAATCCTGACTGCTAATGAAAAATCACCTGGGAAGATTTTTTTATTTTATTTTTTTTAGTTGGGGGGAGCAGTGCAGAGGGAGAGAGAGAATCCTAAGCAGGCTCCAAGCCTAGCACACTGAGCGGGCTCAATCTCATGATACTGAGGTCATGAACTGAGCCAAAATCAAGAGCCAAAATCAAGAGTCAGATGCTGAACCAACTGAACCACCCAGGTGCCCCAGAATTTTTTTTTTTTTTTTTAATATCAACATGCGGGCCCTGCTCCAGACATAGCTGAGAACCATAGAACTATTAGTGTATGGCAGCATGATGTCCCCAGCACAGGATTGGGGGACAGAGTGAGCTGTCACCTAGGCTCCGGATCCAAAGCTTCAGGGATGCCAGTTCTTGTGCTTGCCCCCCCATAGGCTGACCTCCTTTTTCAAAGGTCCAAGGGACTTCTTCTAAAACTTGCAACATAAACATCTGGGGGGACTTGTTATAAAATACCCTCCACCTCACCCACCATTCATGGATCCTGACCTGGGAGCCCACTGTGGGAGAAGAGATCCAGTGAGGAAGGAGCTGTAGTGGGAAGGAGCTCAAGTTAAAGGCCATGAAAGAGTCTTCCCTCAGACCCCTCAGGGAGTAGAGAACAACATTAACTGAGCTCTCTGTTTAAGTGGACATGAAAGCAACCTAAAATACCAGGCTGAATCAGATAGACAGGACAGACAGTTCTCTGGAAAATTTTGGAAGAATCCAGACACGGGACACTTTGCACCAGCTTCACATTCCTACCCTAAATCACTCTATGATGAGGTCCACTGCACTTGGAAGTGCATAATGACTATGCTCTTGAAGTAAAGCCTTGTTGGATGGCTCATGGGACTGGGGATAGATGCTTGCCATGAAGAATTTTCACTGAAAACTGAAGAAATAGTTGGATATTTCTGGTAATTCTGAATTAATCTGATAGTTGTAGAGTGGTAGGGGTTTCTATTGGAATTATCTGGATAATTATATGATACTCTACTTTTGATTAATCCACAGACCTTGTTGAAGATTCTATCAGGGTATGATGTTCCAAGGGAACCATAGTGGTCTCCATTTTTCTTCCAGTGCCCAGGTCCCAGCCAGCTCTTATGGTGGCATCACCATCACACCTACCCCCAAGAATAAGAGAAAATGAAGAGTGGGATGAAGAGAGGAAATAAGTTCAAGAAAGGAAGAGGGCAGAGCACACGGATGAGGCAAAGCAGCAGGGAGAAGGAGAGGAGTATAGAAGGCATTCCGGGTGTGCCTGGCTGGCTCAGTCAGTGGAGCGCATGACTCTTGATCTCGGGGTTCTGAGCTCAAGCCCCACATTGGATGTAGAGATTACTTAAAAATAAAATCTTAAAAAAAAGAAGGCATTCCAGAAACATTTTTACCTTCAGAGTAACATTGGAATGAATTTGAATTAATAATAAAAAAAATGCCTGGTTTACCTTGCTTCACCCCATCTAAAACTTACTTTTTTTTTTTTTTCAAACTTACTTTGAAGGATACTCATGCCAAGTCTACCAAAGCAAAGCACAGACTGGATGGGATTATCTAAGATATTTTTTTGAAATGCTTTCATTTGAAATGTGCAGCTAATTGGTATAAAGTTTTTCACCTGAGTTTTTATTTGCTAACATTGCCATGGGCTTCAGCCATTTCACCATGTTTTTGCTCTTTGTCCTTTTGCAAAATTTTCTTTACCCTCATGGACCAAAAGCCCAAGTAAACAATCTCCTTAGTTACAGAACTAAATGACTGACTTACCGGGTATTGAGGATGTGTCTTCATAATTCCAAACCAAAAGAAGAAAGCCAGTGAGCAGCAGGATCGGCATGGTGGCCACAGGCATGACTTCGGGCATCATGCTGGTGATGTTATAATGCATTGGGTTCAGCATTTCCAAAACCATCTTTTGTTCCTTGATCTCAAGAGAAAAAACTTAAAGTCCTGTGGAAATCAGAGGAGCAAAACAAAAATTAGAGAATCCCCCAAAGTATACATCCAGGACTCCTGTTGCTTCAGAGGATGCTGTAGTGCAGAAATCAGCGTTTGTTTTATAATGTGATTGGACACCTAGACAAGACAAACTTGTGGTTACAAGTCAAAACAAGCAAGCCAAAGAGAGATCTTTTGGCTTGAAGTACAGCATTTCTGACCTTGGTAGAGTCTCAGGTTCGTTTAGACGCTTGGTTTGATAGAACCTTATCATCTTGCCCTTGAGTGGGTAGAGTGGCTGAATTCCCAATTGAGAATCAAATTTCTTACCAAAATACAAGAAAATGAAGCTCATTCCAGAGGTGGAGCCTTTCTGTGACTTCATCAGCAGATATTGCTTAGGCAATCTTTTTCTCTTGATGCCAAATCAATTTTTTAAAAAGTAATCCCTAACCCCCTTCCCTGCTCAAAATTAATTCCCCCAAAGAGTAAGTTTCTCTAGGAAGAATAGTTGCTTGGGCATTGTCGAGGTATCCTCAGAGACTTCTATTGGGTTGTTTGTTGAATTCAGCGTGACTCACTCAGGATGATCTTTTCTCTATTGGCTTGAATAAGGCTTAAAATCTTTTGCAGCACAGGCTGGATGAAGCAGTACTCATGGGGACCAATGTCAGAAGTAGTAGGAGAGAAGAATGAGAGACGGAGATTCCAGGGAGAGGAGAACGAGATGGAATGGGGGAGGAGGAAGAAAACAAAGGACAGAAAGAGTAGAATGCCACCAGCAATAGGCTCAGGTCCACTCATGCTTTGCCCACAGCAGCTAACCTCCTGTGCAAGACAATTTTCAGTTTGATTTGCTGGTTCTGTCATGTTTCTCAACAATGTAATGTTGAGTCTGTCTTTTCAGTAAGGTTTTCTAAGACCAATACTCACAGAGGAGAGTTTCAGGGATGATGGTTTGTTGAAGACACCTAGACTGAATAAACTTGCATAGCAAGGCAAGAGCGACCATTCAATGTGGTTCTGGTGGCAGATGACTGCTCTGAGGATTACCCTCCCTTGGAAAGTGACCTGAGTTTGCAGGACTTATAATGGCTCTGAAACAGATTTTGGCAGGATTTTATCTAGGAATAGTTCTAGATTCTTAACCAGGGCTTCTAATTGGATTTTGGTTGCTCTGTGAACTCCCTGAAATGCTGCATAAAGTATTGTATCTGCTCACCTGAACTTTTAGAGGGAAAGAACTTTTATCAGATTCTTAAAAAGTATGTAATTACATTTCTCCCCTGATCTATGTGAGATCTTAATTTTATTTTATTTATTTTTTAATTTATTTGACACGGAGAGAGGGAGCACAAGCAGGGGGAGTAGCAGGCAGAGAGAGAGGGAGAAGCAGGCTCCCCTTTGAGCAGGGAGCCGGATGTGGGGCTGGATCCCAGGACCCTGGGATCATGACCTGAGCCAAAGGCAGAGGCTTAAACCAAGGAACCACCATTACATCATTCTGAATAAACTCCCTGGAACTTTATGACAGCCAGGATCCTCAAGGTTTCTGTTGATATTGACGAAACCTGAAACCAATGCTAAAGGTGTAAGTGAAGAAGGTGGTTGAGACAAAAAGGAGGAAGATGCACCAGAGGAAGTGATCCTGGCAGAAAACTTCACATTAAAGAAACTCTCAGAAAAAAAATTTAGAAAAAATAAAATAAAAAACTCTCAGAGATATTTCGCAGCATTGAAGTCACAAAGAATAACATGTTGGAAGCTGACACAAATTTATAAAGGAGTATGACAATTCACCAAGGCTTAGAAAAGATGCTCCGTCCATATCATAAGTTACACAAGGAGGAGACGGCAGCAAGAGATATTCAAATACTCTCATTTTTTTTTACAAACAAATAAAACACTTTTAAGAATTGCAGTGTTTCTAATGTTTACAGTGTATTATGATATAGGTCTTACTATTTTTTTCATTTCCATATAAACCTGTAGTATGAGAGTTTTTAATGTTTCAACAAAAATTTTAAAGGTCATGGAACGCTTGTATTTTTTCTCGATTTTTTTAAAGATTTTATTTGAGAGACAGAGCAAGAAAGCACAAGCAGGGGGAGAGGCAGAAGGAGAAAGAGAGAAGCAGACTCCCCTCTGAGCAGGGAGCCTGATGTGGGGGCTCAATCCCAGGACCCTGGGATCACGACCTGAGCCGAAGGCAGACTCTTAGCCAACTGAGCCACCCAGGAGCCCTTTTCTCTCGATTTTTACCCAGTTTCAATTCTTATGGTCATTATTATGGTCTTGCACTACTGTGTAAAGCAAAGACTGCCTGTATATCTAAATGTTTAATAGGGCTTAGAAGCCTGGTTCCTAATCTTTCTCAAAAGTATGTCCTAAAGATGTCCCAAAGAGTGTGAGAATTTTTTTTTTAACGCTTACAGAGCACTTACTACGTGTCAGACATTGTTCCAATTGCTTTACAAATACTAAGTCATTCATATTCACAACCACCCTGAGCTAAGTAAGAGGATCCCCATTTTACAGATGAGGAAACCGAAGTGTGATAAGTGGGGCACCCAGCTTGTTTGTTGCAGAGCTGGGATTAGAGTCCATGTAGTCTGTCTCTGGAACGCATGCTCTTTTGGTTTTCAAATTTTTATTTAAATTCCAGTTAACATAAAATGTAACATCATTAGTTGTAGGTGTAGAATCTAGTGATTTATCACTTACAACACCCAGTACAGAGCTGATGCTCTCAATCATGCCATTTTGATGCCTATTATGGGATTTATTTGGTCTCTACATTCAGGGACTTTTCAATCCTAAGCTATTTACGTTCATTCCTAAGCTATTCAGAATGACTTCCTTTAAAGGAGTAAGCTTTTCAGACCTTCAAATATCACAGCTGGAAAGGTTCTTTCCAATTCTTTCCTACTTGCACGTTGGGTTTTCCTGTTCAGTAGAACATTCTAATGGGCCGCACAGACAGGTTGGTTGAACAGAGGTCTTTGAGTGGTGGTATAGGGATGTAGGAAGGTCCTAGAACTTCATAGGGGATGCTTATATGTCCTCTGTGCCAGGAATACCTCCCACACACCCCCAAACACACATATGCATACGCATAGCCCTCAAGTGCCATGTTCCTTCAAATGCCATCTCAAATGCTTGGGGCTCCAGGCATTTGTTTGCCAAGCGGTCTCTACTCTTCACTCACTGGGCATCCCACATGGATCCTGGTACCAAACAGGAACCAGATCTGTGTTTCTGTGCTGTGTGGAACCACGGGTATCTTAACACCTTCACTTACTGCCCCACGACCTCAGGATGAGGAAATGCCAGTCCTACACCCACCAGTGCAGGGCAAAGGCTGCTGGGGACACTGCAGAGCTTGGGTGTCCTGGTGCTCTGGGTTCGGGATACACTCCGGGCCCTGCAGTGCCAGGAGGGTCTTCCAGATGTCCTGCTACAGACTTGACCCTCTGCAGGATGGTGAAGCAGGCCTCAGCCTTGCAGGAGTGCCACCCGGCCTGGCCAGATCCTACCAAATCCTACCTTGCAGTATGGGGGAGACCTGTCCAGAGGACCCAGCCACCCTGGGTCTGAGGGCCAGGTGCCAAGCCTGCCCTTCCTTTCCTTCTCTTCACTACACCTGGTCTGTCCCTCCTTCACGTCCCCACTCACAGAGAAATATGACCCAGCTACCTTGGTTCTCCCTGTGAGTCCCTTACAGAATAAAATGAAGCATTCATTCTTAAAAGTTCTCTCCCTCCTTTTGTTACCTCTCCTTCTAGAAGGTGAGTTCTCCAAGGCCAAAGATCTGTGTCTTTCTCCTTCACGACTATATCCCACTCCCAGAATAGAGTCCTGAACTTTACTTTGTATATGCTCACTACAAGCCTGTTGCCTGGGTTTGCAGTTTCCACATTCATTCAGATTTTACTCCCTGTTGCAACCTTCCTGAGACCCTTCTTCTCAGACCTTCCCTTTCAATCCATCCTGCGCACTGTTGCCAAGCTGTTTTTCAATTCAGTTTTCATGACATCAGTTCCTTGCTAAGCCTTTCCTTGCTTCTAGTTGATTGCAAGGGTTCCAAATTCATCCTCATTCAGACTTATTTCTTGGCTCTCTGCACCAACATTCTTACTCCTCACTGACCCACAGACATCCTATCTGGGAGCTCTCCCTCATGCCTCCCCCATATTTCCCCAGCTTGGCTGTTTCTTCCCCACAGGCCTCACAGGAAAGGTTTGCTTCCTCCTCTCCCATCTCTGAGCCTTCTCTTACCTGGTATAAATACCCTTCTTCCTTTCTTTGACATAAGTTCTGGGACACTGTTACTTTTTTTTTTTTTTTAAAGATTTTATTTATTTATTTGAGACAGAGAGAATGAGAGACAGAGAGCATGAGAGGGAGGAGGGTCAGAGGGAGAAGCAGACTCCCTGCCGAGCAGGGAGCCCGATGCGGGACTCGATCCCGGGACTCCAGGATCATGACCTGAGCCGAAGGCAGTCGCTTAACCAACTGAGCCACCCAGGCGCCCGACACTGTTACTTTTGACTGCCAAGTCACTCTATAACTCAAGAGTCTTGGATGGTTTCATCAAACAAACATTTATTAAGGATCTTGTCTGAGCAAGGTGCTACATTCAGACATGAAAGGCATAAGACAAGTTCCAAGGAAGGTGCTGTTAAGCCAGGGCCTGGAGTGAGAACCATGGGTCTCTAGGATGACAGGCAGAGCTGCCCATGAACGGCCGCATCAAGGAAACACAGCTGGAAAGAAACTCTGAGATCTTCCAATAGTATGGTTCTCTCCCTTGAAAAATGAACCAACCACCTGAGGTCCAGGGAAGTAAAGATCCACTTGTCAGTCGTCCCTTAAAAGTGGGAAAGGTTTACCCACGTGCACATTCTACGATCTGATTTCCATGATGCCCTCCTTCTGGGGTCATGACCCTGCAGGTTCTAGTCTTTCTTCCCAGCAAACTTCCAAATGAGTCTCTGGGAATTACTTGTTTT